AGAGAAACTAGAGAGATCCAAGTGACGAATCATTTGAAAACAACGCTTTTTAATGTCATTTGTGGCATTAACGAAACGTGTGAAAGTATGAGGAAAAGTAAACGCGATGGTATGATATAAGATCGGAGTAGCATAAAGGTTAAAAGTATGATTAACCAAAGCACAGGCAGCGAGAGTTTTTTTATCATCCCTCAATAAATCCAGAATAATGCGAATAATTTCGGGAGGAATATAAGGAATTGATGCATTTTTTTTCACCGGGACAACTTGTGAGCCGGTAAGAGGATAAACGAACAATTGAGGCAAGATAATACTAGCCATTATATTGATAAGTAGAAGTTATCAAATGAGAAATAATTACTCAAAATTTAACTTTATTGAAAGATTATAATTTTCAGATTACTATTGTTAGATTACTTTTGCTATTGTCAGATTACTTTTGTTAAATGTTTAGAATGTTATGTGTGAATCGAAATTAACGAGGAAGATTTCATCCCTTTATATATTTTATCGCACTTAAAGGATGTAAAAACAGAAATTTTGATATTAATACCCCGAAGTGGCAACTTCGGGTAAAAAAACAGAAAATTTGATATTAATACCCCGAAATGGCAACTTCGGGTCAATCAATACAAAATCTGAACGATATGTGGCCGTGAAAGCTGACCTATTATTGGTTGGTTTGACAGAATCATATTTTAAATTTAAAAGCATGTCACAAAAAAAAAAGCCGAGTAATAATGCGCCACCAACATTGGCGACAATGGCAAAAGACAAATGTCATTATTGTCTTTGAGAACTGGTTTTTGTTGTTTTGCCACAATGCTTTTACGTACGTACGTACGTGCGTATATACGTTATTATACCTAAAATGGAAATGCATTAAAAATTTCATTACGTATTAACTTTTTAACTACGTATTGTTGCTGGATTTGTCACACACTATATTATGTTACAACATACGTACGTACGCATGTTCTCAGATATAGTTAAATTTTAGAAACATGGGAAAAAATAATAGTGGGATTGAATGCATTTAACAATGATTTTTATTATGCAAAAGCGGATTTACCTTATATAACAGGTTTTACTAGTTCATGACTCAAGCTTTATCTTAGTGTATAATAATTCTTTTAGCTAATTTGCAAATAGAAGAGAAGCGGGAACTACACAAGTTACATTTAAAGTTGCATAAGGAAAAAATTTTAATTTTCATTTGATTTCTTAATTTGTATGTTTCTTTATACACAACCGATGTGTGCAAATATTAAAATGGTAGAAAATTCCAGAGTAGAATTCTTACGTACGTATGTACTACACATTATTACGATTTAATTGTACTTTGAATCATATTTCTATATTTGTTAATTTTTTGATAACAATGGTAAATACTAATTAACAATCTTTTTACGAATGAAGCATGTACGTACAGTACGTACGTAAAAATAGAAATAGTAGTACGAGATTTTGATGATGCCCAAATTAACTTATCTGATTGGTAAGGATTAGGGTGATTAATCAATAGGAATTTTGTCATCCCCGACGAACATTCTAAAAATTATTATTGATTAAAAAATTATAGTTCGGATAACAATTTAATACTTTCTTGAGTTTGTATCACTCACATAAAAATGTTAAGGTACTGTAGCTGCGCGACGTAGTCATGCTTAATGATGAGTAATGACGAATGACGAAACCATTTCGAATTGACGAAATGACGAATGACGAAATTCATGATACCTGTGTCGAATGATAAATTTGTATGTAATATATAGCATTTAGACGTAATAAATATAAGAAAAAATAAAAAATGCGATTTTTCTCTTAGGATTCATTGAAAAGTTAATGTCTACAAGACAACTACGTTAACGATAAACTTTATGGCATACGCGATATTACAACATTAATTGCCCGGATGTATCAGATAGACGCGCGATGCTTCGGATTCATTCTAATGTGATATAAAATTAATTTTTATATGAATCCGTTTTTTTTTATAATGAACACATTTTGTTTATAAGGAACTGACTATTTGATAGAAAGAAGTCCGGTGTCAAAAAATTATGTGTTCATATATATCGACGAAACTTATAAATAACTGTAATATTTTGAAGAAAAAATTTAAAATTCGAAATACCCGCCGTTAAAGAAACACAATGAAAGAGGGGCAACTATATTCTTAAATTTTATTGGTCGAATTAATTTCGTCAATAATTTCGTCAATCGTCAGTACTTTCGTCAATCCTGCAATCGTCGGCCAATCGTCAAAATTTCATAAACCATTGACAAAACATTTTGTCATCGCAAAAATAATTTCGTCACCATCATTAGTCGCGCTTAAAACAGGACATATCATGATCACTACTTGCTCAAGTGCAGTGACAAACTTTCTAATATTTGTAAAAATAGTCGTATGAAATCTATTTCAATGTATTATACACCTTGTCAATTGGTTCAACATTGCGTTATACACCCTACCTCGCTGTAACGGTGTGATCGGATTGGGAAATTCCATTCGTTATAATAAATATCCGCTACAACATTATATGAGTGTCGCTAAAAGAAAACCCGAAAATTTAAATTAAGTCATATTTAAATTTTCGGGTTTTCTTTTAGCGACACTCATATAATAACAGGAGAGACTGTTCAAATTCGTAGATAATTCAGTATAATTACACATTATTGTCAGCTAATCGTATCTCTAATTTTAGCAAATCGGCCAATCAGATTGAAACAAAAGTTGTGGGATTCTAGGGATTCAAAGAATATGTTATAGGGCGAAACAAAAACATCAATTCATCCGTTAAATTTATTCTCATTTCATAGAAAATTAAGCTACCCGAGCTTTTCAAAAAAGTATTGTAAAATGTATAAAAAAAATCATCTACGAAGTTGAACGGTCGCTCCTGTATTATATAATATTATAAAATATTTTAGAGAATTACTACGTTATAATCCGTTATAATGAGAGTAGAGCGTGCGTATGATTAATCGATTATGAAGTTAGATTGTTAAGTGTCGTGCTATTCAGAATTTACGCCTGTTATTTTTGAATTTTCATCGATCAAGTCAATTATTGACGCAACTATGTATTAGATTTATTATGCGACTTATTATGTATTATATATGTAGCAAATAATAATAGGATATAGATGTAACTAAAATTTTTTTTAATCATTTTGAAGATATTTTATTAAAATTATTAAAAATATGTATATATATTTAATAACAAAATATTAAGATTACAGAAAGAATATAATATAGACTAGATACTAAGAAAAAGAATCAAATTGGTAATTTTATCAAAATATTTTTTGGTTTTTTTTTGCAATATATTTTTTTTAGCATTATGCCTATATAAAAACTACAATTCTTGTAGTGAGTCATGAATTCACAATAGAATTTTTAATTTTTATTAATTTTGTTTTACTAATACTTTTTTTAAAACAAAGTTTTATTATATGAACTTTATCTGATTATTTAAATATCTGAAGTATTTAAGAAGATTAAAATTTTAACTTAAAACTTTAATAATTAAGTAATTGTTTATAATTTTTTTTCTAAAAGATAGTCTTGTAAAAATGGTAGTCAGTTTTCTGTCTTGAATATAGTTAAATATTATTAAATATTAATAAATAGATAATCAAAATTTAATGATATATTTTTTAATGATTATAACTAATTTTCACCCTAGGTGATATCACCCGGTATTATAAATTTTTTATTACAAGTAAAATAAATTTAAGGTTAGAAATTAGGGTTGGCTTTAGGTTAGATTAAAAGGGTTTAAATATATATAAAATTTGATGTTGAAAACTTTTGCTTAAAAGCCAGAGCATGGTTTTTATAATAAAATCTTGAGTTATTTGAGTTTTTTGTTTTTTTCTTTTCTTCGCTTTGTTTTGGTTACACAAGATCTGGTGATCCTGATTGGTTTTTATACCACTAGGTGATATCACCTAGGGTGAAAGTTAGCAATAGTCTTTTTTAATTATTTTTATAATTTTTATTTTGTCTAATTATTATTAGAAAAATATAATCAGAATCAAATAATTAATATTTTAAAAAAAGTATTAAACCAATACTAAATATTGTTGATATAATATTTTAAACAATATATATATAATGTCAACAGAAAATAATATAAAAAATTTAATTAAATTGAGTTTAAATAAAATATTTTGACTATTTAGACTTATTAAATAAAATAAATTAATATAGTATATTTTAAAAGTATTTTAGTAACTATAACTAGCAGTGATCATCACTGGTGTATAATTAGCCAATAGATTTGCAGGATCAAGTGTAATGTGTAAATCAATTTGTGTAATAACAATAAATATTTTTTTTAAAAAAATGCTGATATCTCAAGAATTTGCCTATGAAATCACCTTTGATATTCTAACAAAAAAAATTTTTTGCTAAATTTTGCATATATCTAACATCTTGTTAAAATTTTAGGCCTAACTCTAAAGTAAATAAAATAAGATATTTTTTGTTTTATCATTATTGGCTAATTATACACTGGTGATGATTATTGCCGGTTATTCTTACTAAAACTTATTTTAAAAATTAAATAATAATATAATATATTTCATATTTATATTTTATATTTGTATAATTTTTATTTATATACTTTATTGCTATTATATTATATATATAATCTTTATAATAAATTTAATTTTAACAATTTATTATACACTTATTTGTAATAACTCAATTAGCTCAACCAATAAAATAACTAAAAATTTATATAATTCAAACTTTAACTCTAGTTACTATTGGATAATATAAGGTTGTTATAAGAATATTTATTTTAATTGTTATATATTTTTAATAAAAAATTTTTTTAAAATTATATTAATATTCAGATATACTAGTTAACTATATATTTTATAAATAAAGTAAAAGTAATATATCTTTATAAATTATATTTAATTATATATATATTTTAGAAAATATTAAAATTTATCAAATAAACTTAAAATATATATATAAAAAGTAAAATATTTTCTATTGTATTATTAATATAATAAATACTATTTATATTATTAGAATAAATTAATAAACAATCTATTTTTAAAAAAATAGATATATTATATTTAGATTATATTACTCTTTTGTAATTTTTTAAAATAGTAAATTAAGAGAATTTTTATTATATACAGAGTGAATATATATAGGCAATATAGATATCTCAAAATTTTGATTATGAAATCATCTTTTAGTTTTTAATAAAACTTTTCTTATAAAATTTTGGTATAGGTTATATTTTGTCTAATTCTAAATCTATTTTTATCCTAATTATAAGAAAGTTTAAT